GACCTGCTGGGCTCTGGCGATCCTTCCGCCTCAGCCTTCCGAGTAGCCGGAATTACAGGCATGCGCTACCACGCCCAACTGATTTTTTGATTTATTGTAGAGATGAGGTCTCGCTGCCCAGGCGGGTCTCAAACCCGCGGGCTCAGGCAATCCACTCACCTCAGCCTCCCAAAGGTGCGGGGTTACAGGCTGAGCCACTGAGCCTGGCTCAGTATATTTTTTATTTTTATCTTTTCATTCCATTTTCCACAGCCTGTTTTTCTTTTTTTTTGAGTTGGAGTCTTACTCTGCTGCTTAGGCTGGACTGCAGTGGCATGATCATGGCTCATTGCAGCCTTGACCTCCTGGGCTTAGGCAATCCTTCCATCTCAGCCTGCCAAGTGACTGGGACTATAGGCATGGGCTACCACACCCAGCTAATTTTTTGAAATTTTTTAATAGAAATGAGGTCTTGTCATGTTGTCCAGGCTGGTCTCGAACTCCTGGGCTCAAGCAATCCTTCTGCCTCCACCTCCCAAAGTATTGGGATTACAGGCATAAACCATCATGCCCAGCCTACTTCCCACAAACTTTCAGAAGTTCCCTCATGTGTGCACAAAGAGATTTGATGTGTTTGATGTTATTCTATAGTATTGCTTAAAACGGCAAAAAGTTGGAAACAGGCCTAAATGTCCCCTTTATCGAGGATTTCTGTTATTCCTTCTGAATTTTATTCTGTGCCTCATTAGCCTCGGTACTCAATCCTCTTTAAACTGTAGTTCAGCTCTAAAGGTTTCTTGATCTCTTCCTCAAAACCCTAGCTGTCAGCTTGGTGCCAGTATACCAAGATATGACATGAGTGCTTGGCATGAGGCTAGACATGGTCTCCTTGAGGGCTGGGACTATGTCCTATCCATCTTTGTTATGTGAAGGACCCTAGTAAGAAGTCTTGTTTGTGGTGAGTACTCAATAAATCTTGAAAGAAGTAAATGAAGGGGAGGGTCAGAGAGGGGGGATGTAGTAGAGAGCCCAGGAGGTTGAGCAGAGGCAGCAAGAGAGGGGAGCTAGTGGCCGGGTGCAGTGGCTTACGCCTATAATCCCAGCACTTTGGGAGGCCGAGGTGAGAGGATTGCCTGAGCCCGCTGGTTCAATACCAGCCTGGGTAACTTAGCGAGACCTCATCTCTACAATATATTAAAAAATTAGCCGGACACGGTGGTGTGTGCCTGTAATTCCAGCTACTTGGAAGGCTGAGGCGGAAGGATCGCCTGAACCCAGCAGGTCGAGGCTATGGTGGCAGTGAGTGTGCCACTGGCCTCCAGCCTGGGTGACAGAATGAGACTCCAACTCAAAAAAAAAAAAAAAAAGAGAGGGGCTAGTGAGGAGTGATGTTGACATTCTGCTTTGATCCTAAAGGGCTAAGTTCTTCTCACAGCCCTGTTTTCAAAAGCCTACTGGGCCAGTCACGAAGATCATGTGCAAGAGGAAGCCAGAGGCCTGAAGGTAAACCTTGCCTACACTGAGTCCAAGGCTCATGGGTAAACAACAACTGGTATCTGAACTGATGAACTGATTCAGGGGAGAACCTCCAGGAAGAATCACAATTTTCTTCTTAGTGAGTAGACTAACTTCTTTAGAACCAGACAGATTCAAATCAGCAGGAGATTTTAGAGCTGGAGGGTGGGTCCAAACTTTTTTGTCTTTTAACAACAGAATCCTTCTCTCAAAACAATTGAGAATCCCAGTATATAAAACCTATAGAGTGGAGATAGTTGAAGTGGGGAAAGAGAAGCTCCTCCCTGCAAGGCTCTCCCTCCTCATCTTTTCTCCCCTGAAGTAGCCTCTGAGACACCTCTGTGTCAGCCCTCGGGTTTTCCACACATTGCTTGGAAACCAGGTACAGTCCTGCCTCCACCATATGTCACGAGGAAACCAAAGCCCAGCCAAAGTGCCTCATGGTCTCATAGCTTGTTCATGGTAGAATCCAGGGAAAAGTAATTTTCAGCCTGGCTTATTGGAATCAAAGTATAAACTTGAAGGCACAAGCAAATCGCTTGAGGCACTTGTTAAGATGATTCTGATTTACTAGGTCTGAATTGGGGCTAAAGGGCCTACAATTATAGCAAGCTCTCAGATGGTGCTAAATTGAAGACCACTAAGTAGGTAGCAGGCAGCAAGAGGTGGGCTTTTCTTCTTGTACAGGAAAAAACACAGGTAAAGGCTTGTCTTAGCATAGAAGTTCCAGATATTACTGGTTTAGGATAAGGTGGGTAGGGTATTCTGCTGCTATCAGCAGCTTTCTGTCTCAGATTAAAAAAAAAAAATCTATGTAGCCGGGCGTGGTAGTGCGCGCCTGTAGTTCCAGCTACTCGGAAGGCTGAGGCGGAAGGATCGCCGGCGCCCAGCAGGTCGAGGCTGCCGTGGCCGGGAGTGGCCACTGGGCGACAGAGTGAGACTCCAACTCAAAAAAAAAAAAAAAAAAAGAAGAAGAAAAATCTATGGTCAGTTGGACAACTTGTGCTACAGAAAGAACTTTGTTCCTACTGTTACAATATCCATTTTACAGATAAGGGAACTGAGGATCAGAGGTTAGCTGCCTTCTGTCCATCACAAAGCTAATAAATGACAACTCATAACCTGAACCCAAGTCTTTTGACTCTAAGACATAGTTATTTTCCCATTTCAAACTTCTCTTTATTATGGGGTATTTGGAGTATCTAAATGGACTATACTCATGATAGGCTTAAGAGGTCCAAAACTGAACTTGACACGCTTCTTTTAATCCCAACTAAACACACACTGAAACCTGGGCTTCAGGGGGGATGTGTGGTTTCTCCGCATCCACCACATGTAACAGATGCCGACTGTTTTTCCTCTCTGATCTCTTCAGAGGTCTCTGGACTTCTGACTTGATCATCATTGAACTGTCCAAATCATCTGAAGCTCAAATCCTTCAAGGGGCAATCAAGTGCTGGTGCAGCTCTTTGCAAGTTGCCTTCCTCTGTCCAGCTGGTTTATGGACTAAGCATCCACTGGTGGTGTCAAACTCAAACATTTCTCAGAGCCAAAACAAAAGTAAACGTGAGCTCATATTTTGAAACATTAAATCGTTCAATTTTCTCCCCCCAAAAAATGGGTTTTTGAATAGTTAATAAAAGAGTGCCCTTTGGCTTTAATCTTAGAATTCTCTTCCACTCATTTTTTATTACTAAACTCTGTAGAACCTCATTCTTGGTTTTAATTGTAGGCAGAATGCAAGGAGGAAGAACCCCCAGGTTGACTCTGTCCCTAATTAGCACAACAAAAGAAAAGAGGTGTTGGGATTCCTCCAGGCTTGTGCCAGTTGCTGTCTGAAAAAGTTTCTCTCAGAACTTGACCAGAAGATAGTCAAGGAAGTAAGAAAAAGCAAAACTGGAACTAATCCATGTAGTTACTCATTGGTAGCTCAGGTTTCTATGAGTCCTGCTATGTAGAATGGCCACCATCCCGATAGCCTTATCATACATTCTTGTCTTGTGTTCTCTTATTATTTTTCTTCTTATGGCACTTGGCTCAAGTCCCACTGTTGGGTCTGCACCCTGGTTAAGGGATATTTCTTTCCTTTACATTAACTTAGGGAGGTTAAAGCCAACTCTGATATTTGGGAAGAATGAGGTTCTACAGAGTTTAGTAATAAAAAATGAGTGGAAGAGAATTCCAAGATTAAAGTAAGCCACAGGGCACTCTTTTATTAACTATTCAAAAACCCATTTTTTGGAGCACATATGATTTGATAGATGATTTCACATATCTTATTTAAACTTCACAAAACTCCTATGCAGGGGTGGATGAGGAGATCCACATGGTTCTATAGAGGTAGTTATCAAAGTTCCTGCTTTTGTTTTTGGTGGTTTGTAGGCACTTACTACGTTATTAAAAAGAACTAATAAATGTATAAATAAAAGTGGGCCATGTATGAACCATTGTGTCATAAAGCAAGAATTATGATGAACCCGATTCTGTTTTAGAGGTCACAAAAATAAAAAGAGGCTGGGTGTGGTGACTCAAGTCTGTATTCCCAGCACTTTCTTGGCGAGACCTCATCTCTACAATAAATCAGAAAAATCAGCTGCGTGTGATAGCGCATGCCTGTAGTTCTGGCTACTTGGAAGGCTGGGGTGGAAAGGATTACCTGAGCCCAGCAGGTCGACGTTGGGGTGGCTGTGAGTGTGCACTGCAGCCTGGGTGATGGAGTAAGACTCCAACTCAAAATCAATAATAATAAAAAATAAAAATAAATCTTATGTGCTAGAATTACACCATTTTATCCATAAGACATTGGGGTTGAAAGAGGTCAAATAATACAGCTTCCAGGCAGGGCCAGATTTGAATCCAGGTCTGTCTGGCTCCCAGTTTATTTCTCTTTCCACTATTCCATAAGAAAATAAATATCTATGCCTCAGATGGGAAAACTAGATGCCTAGAGTCCGTGGCACTCACTCTCTTGCCTTCCTACTTGGTATCATCTAGAGACAAGTGTGCTAATGATGAGCTACAGCAGTTGCCACGTCCACCAGCACGTGGAATGGATCTCTAGGGGCCATTTTCCCACTTATCTGAGCATCATGTTGCTTCAGGCGTCTTACCGCTTAGTCTGCATCCCAGGCTTGTGAGGCACACCTTTCCTTTTCATGAGTTTCTCCATGGCGTTGGGGTGGATTATTGGACGGACAGGGTGTCGTTTGTAGGTTCCAGGATACTTCTTTTCCACTGCCTGCTCACGCCTGCAGAATGAAAGAAAAAGCCATATCTCAGTCACCACAGACAGAAAGGATGGGCAGGATGTTTTCTCAGGCTAATTCTGGCCACATTTAACAGATACAGACTATTTGAATAACAAGGCTACTATTCACCTTAAAAAAATACGAAATTAAAATTAACCTGACTTAATTCTGCTCTTCAGCTCATGGATCAGACATGGACACTGACTTTCTCTTCCCCAATATAATATAGTAAGTCAGTGGCTGTTTTGGTCAGGACCCCAGGGGTTTCTTGTCACCATCAGGGATACCTTAAACCACTTTCAGCAGCCAATGTCCTTCCCCGGAGGCAATAAGTTCCCACTTACTCACACAAAGCCCTTCTTGAAACAAGAATCCCTTTTCTGAGCTATATGGCAGGGTGAAGTGCAAATGTCTGTCAAGTGCATGTTTCCCTAGAACTTGCTCTGTGGCAACTCCACTAATCTGCACACCTCACCAGGGGCAGCAACCTGTGCTCAGCACGTCCCTTTTGGAATGTGGAGTGAATGAATAAAGTATCTGCCAGTTCTGAGTAGCAGCAACACAGAAGAGTAGTACGTTTCTGCTGATTGGCAGACTCAAATCAGTAAGGACAGACACTGGTCGGGATACATACTTAATGAGCTCCTTCTCCCGCATTTCTAGCTGCAGCATGATGGCACTCAGTTCCATGTATAAATTATTAGCCCGCTCAAGCTTTCTCTCATAGTGTTCACGAATATCCAAAGCATGCCTATCAAAGAAAACAGAATGAGCGAGGTCTACTAACTTAGGGGAGAACAGCTTAATGAAATAAGAAACAGGATGGTTTATCACAAAAGCATTTGCCCAAGGACCCTTCTATTTTTAAGCCTGCTTTGTTTGATGCAATGACTCACACAAGATGGAGTGGGAGATAGGAAATCTAAGCTCTCCACTTGGTTAATCCTTAAGGGCCATCCATCCATCCAGAATAGCCAAGAGGACCACAGGTAAAAATCTGAATGCGATTTATGTATAATTTGTCGCCTTTACTGTGTAGTGTTGGCACTATCTTAATAAGACTACAATATAATATATTCATATATTAATGAAAATACGCAGTTAAAGCCAATACCATGGTCACTCATTTATATGTACCCATGGCACAGAGCATGTCTAATATAGTGGCTGCTATGGTCTGAATGTTTTTGTCCCCCAAAATTCATATGTTGAAACCTAACACCCAAGGTGACAGTGTTAAGAAGTGGGGTCTTGGCCGGGCTCGGTGGCTCAGCCTGTAATCCTGTGCCTTGAGAGGCTAAGATGAGTGGACTGCCTGAGCCCATGGGTTTGAGACCCGCCTGGGCAACTTGGCGAGACCTCATCTCTACAATAAATCCAAAATTAGCTGGGCATGGTAGTGTGCGCCTGTAATTCCAGCTACTTGGAAGGCTGAGGGGGAAGGATCGCCGGAGCCCAGCAGGTCAAGGCTGCGGTGGCCGGGAGCGGCCATTGTACTCCAGTCTGGGCGACGGAGTGAGACTACAACTCAAAAAAATAAAAAGGAAATAGGGTCTTTAGGAAGTAACTAGGTCATGAGGGCAGAGCCCTTATGAGCCCTAAGAACCTTAGATTAGAAGAACTTGGTAAAATAATCCTAGCAGTAGTGTAGCCATTTTGGCTCAGCACTAGCCCTATCGTGTATTACTGAGCCTTTCTGCTAACCAGCCTACTCTTTTACCTCTTAGTCATTAGCAAGAAGTAAAACCCACCTTCCAGGGTTAGGACCTGGTAATTATTTCTAGCCCTTTAAGCATGTCTAGCCCTAATTGTTCTTCAGGCATCTATGCTTCCTGCGATGATGTATTGTTATCAGTCTTCCATAACCAGCCTCCAGCCCAGCCTCTGGCCCACAACCTGGAATAATGAGATGTGGTGCCTGGGGATGTCTAGAAACAAGACTTATGTGACTTCTGTTATCTACATCAAAGAATATAACCTCAGGATTTTCTTCTTAGCCTAAAAAGAGAGCCTTATATATATCCAACTTTTTAGCCTTCAATGCTATGCTCATCTATGAGTGCCTGTCCCTTTTTGTCTGTGGAAAGTGGATAATAAGCTTTGCTTTTTTCTCCTTTGCGATTCTTTGCATTATTCCCATGGCACCGGCCCACTTTGCCTCAATTTACCCTTTCATCTGGTGGCCTGTATGGAGAGGATACCCCAACATTTTTGGGGTCCCCCTCCCCTCTACAACTTTTTCCTCACCCTCCTCTCTTCAAACCTGTGTCTCCTTGTGGACTGTGCTAGAACTATGGCTCTGGCCGAGGGGCTCCCGGGTGTATCTGGGCCCCAGGAAAGGCAGCAGACTACTGTGGCCCATTAGGGTGGGAGACTAAGGTCGATCCTTTACCTTTTTCGGCAAGCTGAGCTCTCCAAGCTTCTCTGCAGACCAGACTAGATCTCAGAAAGCAACTGAAGGCCTTTTTGCCAGGGCAACTCCCTGGAAAGGTAAGAAGTTCCCCAAAGGAAGGTCTTGGACTGCCATTGCTTGTTGGGTGAGAGGCGAGGTACTTGGCCCCTCTCATTTGCTATTTACTCCCTGTTTTCCTGCCTGAAGATGAGCTACACCAAGCGCAGCCCTGCACTGCTTCAGTGTTTTTTTCGGTATGAAGTAACATCTCCAGTGAGTCCAATTGCTTATCTGGTCAGGAAGGGATCCAGGAACAGCTGAGAGGTCACCCTTTCTCTTTCTCTAAGTCCACTTGGTCCCAGGGCCCTCTGCAGAAGTCTTGGCCAAGTCTCCCAAGTATGGTTTCAGAGCAGCTCTAGCACTGGGTCCTGGGGCCCTTGACAGTGAAGGTGCAGCTTCCGGTGGGTGGAGGAGACAGAGGATGCGCTCTCTCACTTGTTCTCACACACACAGGGTAATTCCATTAGGCCTCTGTCTGGAATGCTGGACTCAATACGTATATGAACTTTCTCTTTCTCGTTCTCTCTCTGTCACTGTCCTTAGGATGCTCTCTTTCTCTCTCCGTTCCAGGGCTCCTCATGGGAAATTCTTAGTTGGTTGTGGAAAAAGATTCATTGTTGGCATGTCTTTTAAAAAATCTCAAACATCTTTCGTTAGAGAAAGATATCTGTCCCAAATGTCTCACATTTTATTGAAACACAGCCTGGCCAGAATATAAGTTAGGCGATGGGGAAGTTTGGCCACACGGAGGCTCCCTGGCATATAACACCTTGATGCAACTTGATTTATACATTAGGAGGAACAAGAAACATAATGAATCCCCTATGTCCAGGCCTTTTTCGAGTTAGCTCGTCATCAGGGCCTATACTCTTCCTGTTGCATGTTTGTTCTCACTCCTCTAATAGCTACTTCATCGCCAGATGACTAGGATCCTGCTGATCTAGCTGCCCCTGCTTCTTGAAACCCACCTTTACCTCTTTACCCTTCACAGTCTCCTACCATGGAAAATCTGGCAGTAATTGGGGTAAGCAACAGCTGCCGGGGAACTGTTTCAAGTGTCATCAATCCAGTCACTGGGTTAAAGACTGCACCAAGCTGCTACCTTCCACCCGTGTCCTAAGTGTGGATGGGTCAGGCACTGGGGATGTGATTGCCATGTCTGCCCAGCTGGACAGAGGTGCACCCCCCAGGTACCTGCACAGCTGCCAAACCAACACACAGAAGAACCGTCTACTTATTCTCAGGCACCAGCCATGTGCCATACAGCTAGGTTGGACTCTGAGCTGGTCCTACTGAGTGTTTTGCAATCTGATTGACACACCTCAGGTTCAGTTGTTCCCTGCTCTCCTGAGCACCTCATATAGCCAACTGAAATCCAGAGTGGAAATCTGTCACTGGTAGCCTTATCTCCTTCATCATCGATACTGGGGCTACCTGCTCAGCTTTAACTGAATTCCCTGGTCCCCTCCTTCCTTCTCCTGTCTCTATAGTAGGGGTCAGTGGTGTTCCTTCTAAGCCCCTAACCACAATACCCCTGCCATGCTTACTGGGAAGTCAAATGTTTCATCATTCGTGTTTGGTCATTCGCACTTGCCCTGCTTCCTTGCTCAGCGGGGAAATTATGCGTCAACTTGGAACTTGCATTATTCTCTACTCAGAACCCCTGCTGGCTTATTTTGTAGGAGTACTCCACAGGACTCTTAATCCCCCTGAGCCCTCTCCAGACCAGGGCCCGGCCCAAAAGGCCATATCACCCCCTCGTATCCCTTCTTACATCGAGGAACAGGTTCCCCCTCTAGTTTGGCATTTCTACCCCAGGCCAAGCTTCATCAGCTATGCTGCATTACCAGGTCCTAACCCTGGGAAACCAGTTTTACTTCTTGCTCATGATTAAGAGGTAAAAGAATAGGCTGGTCAGCAGGAAGTCTCAACAATACATGACAGGGCTAGGGCTGAGATAAAATGACTGCACTACCACTAGGATTATTTTACCAAGTTCTTCTATTCTAAGGTTCTTGGGGTTCCTACCTTTCACCTTATATTAAATATATATTATTAGTGCCCTTATTAAAGAGACTTGAGGGAACCCTTTGTCTCTTTCACCATGTGAGGACACATAGAAGTCACCATCTATGAGAAATGGGCCTAATGGACACTGAATTGGCTGGAGCCTTGATCCTGGACTTCCCAGTCTCCAGAACTATGAGCAATAAATTTCTGTTGTTTATGAATTACCCAGTCTAAGGTTTGTTATAGCAGCTAGAACTAAGACATGATTATCTATAAATATCCTTTAATAAATTGTAAGCATCTTCAAGCCAAGGACTTCAAGGACTAAACCTTATACATTTCTGGACTTTCATGGCAGCTTAGACAGTGGCTGAATGAACGAATAGCATTGTTCTAGGAATCTTTATTGCAGTGATATAATAAAGAAGATGACAGAGTTGGGAGGAGAGAATAAGGGATATAAAGGAGGACTTTCAGGGAAACTTTTTTTATTTTTTGAGTCAGAGTTTCACCCTGTCATCCAAGCTGGAGTGCAGTGGTATGATCATAGCTCACCCAAGCCTCTACCTCCTGAGTTCAGGCAATCCTTCTGCCTCAGCCTCCCAAGTAGCTGGGACTGCAGGCACACTCCACCATGCCCAGCCAGGGCAACTTTTAAAGAACATAACAGTAAAAAACAGAGGTGAAGGATGTTTAGAAAGTTAAATAGTGATTCACAAAGAAAGACCTGGAGATGAGAGGAGGTAGAGAAGGAGAGATGAGCTGACCTGAGTTCTTCTCTGCGCCTTCGAATTAGTTCTTCGTCTAATCGGTGTATACAAGTTCCTTCACTTTTGATCTTTTCAAAATGTTTTTTCACTTCTTCTCTCCATTCAGCCTGGGTGAGGACAAATTATATTTTGTTAATACTCTAGGAGTTACAATCCCTAATATATCCATACAATCATATACAAGGTTTTTTTCCTTCATGCTTCTACCGAAAAGTTTTATTCAGAATAGTTGTTGAATAAATATTAGTTGATTGATAGCAAAATATCTCATGCCACTGTATCTGTAGGTCCCATCCCATGCTCTATATTTCTATTCCAACATATGATGCTATCTTTTCCCCAGTTTTCCTGCAGCACTGCCCACGAGGAACATCACAACAGGCATATTGGCCATCACTTCTGAAAGAAAAGAGCTCAATTTAAGGCAAGATAGTGGCTGAGGTAGACTGGCCAGGGGAAAAATAGTTCTGATAATCACATAGGTATGTGTATGATGTGGGTATGTGTCTGTGAGATTATGATTATCTTTACAATTAGCACCAGATTTCCTGTTAGCTTTGTTTGGAAAAATATCTTTGGAAAAAATTTAGACAAGACCCTAGGGGCATGAGCAGCAGGAGATGAGAATAAAAAGATAAGAAACTATACAGAATTTTGGAGTTGAGAGAAGGAGCAGAACAAGAGAAAAGGAGGAGGAGGAAAGAAAGTGTATGGCCAAGCAATTCAGTAGTTTGTAACAATTTTAGGACAGGGATGGATGTTTAATGCATGATTTAAGTTTGTTTAAAATTTAAACTTCTCCCAGTTTTCTTTGACATTCACTTTGCTTTGGGTGAATTTTTTTTTTTTTTTAGAAATCAAGGAAAGGTGCTGAATTTCACATTTGGTCAATAATAGGACAAAGATAAAAGAACAATCCCCAAGGCAGTAGGAGAGGAAGGCAGATCCAGAGTGGCCATACAATTTTAAATCTCCCAGGAATTGACAGAAGTATTAGAAAAGATATTGGCATTTCCACAGGGCATGAAATTTCAAGTCAATTTTACCTAAATTTTGGGGGGCAGAAAAACCGCTGCTGGAGTATGGCCTATAGGTAGTTTCTATATTATGCTGAGATGACTGTCTCAAGAAGCTAATGAGATTAAGATCATTTCCAAGTAAGGCTAGATGTGTAACTAAATGTCTATAATTGTACTGTCTTTCTCTAAGACTATTCTGTTGAATGTCTATAATTGCATAATCTTCCTCTAAAACTATTCTATTGCTTTAGATTCATGTTAAAAAGTATCATTCTGGATTGTATGGTAGTTCTACCTTTAATTTGGTGAGAAACCTCCATAATGTTTTCCATATTAGCTGCACCATTTTGCATTCCCACTAACAGCATACAAAGGTTCCAATTTATCTATATCCTTGCCAACATTTGTTGTCTTATTTTTAAAAAATCAATCTCATTTCTGAGTATTTATCCAAAAGAATGAAAACCAGTATCTCAAAGAGATAGTAGCCCTCTCATGTTCATTGCACTATTATTCACAATAGTCAAGATGTAAAAACAGCCGGGCTTGGTGGCTCAGCCTATAATCCCGTGCCTTTGGGAGGCTGAGGTGAGTGGATTGCCTGAGCCCGCGGGTTCGAGACCCGCCTGGGCAGTGAGACCTCAACTCTACAATAAATCAAAAAAATTAGCCGGGCATGGTAGCACACGCCTGTAGTTCCAGCTACTTGGAAGGCTGAGGGGGAAGGATCGG